TCTTCATCAGGAGCCGTTCCCCCTCCCTAATCAGCTTCCCCCGCCCCCTCCCGACAGCGGGGGATTTGTGGGGAAATACTGCGCTCTGAATAGCTCTAACCGGGCTGGGGAAGGAAAGAGGGGGGGTGCTTTTCAAAGTGTCCTTTGCCTTATCAACAAAGACCGGGACCATTTCACTCCTGCTTTGAAAAGATGCCCAGAAAAATGGGTTTTCAGACGACTGGACGTCCCTGACCCTTCTCGTGGGTGTGTGCTTCAGCGGGTGTATGTGTGTGTGTGTGGGTATGTGTGTATGTCTGTGAGCGTGTGTGTCTTTCTATGTGTATGTGTATCTGTATGTGAGTGAGTGTATCTCTGTGTTTGTGTAGTTATGTGTGTATTTGTGTGTATGTGTGTGCATCTCTAAGTGTGAGTGTGTGTATCTCTGTGTGTGTTCATCTGTGTGTGTTCATCTGTGTGTGTGTGAATCGCTGTGTGTGCGTATCTGTGTGTATCTATGCGTGTGTGCATCTCTATGTGTGAATGTGTGTGCATCTGTGTGTATCTCTGTGTGAGTGTGTGCATCGGTGTGTGTCTGTGCATCTCTGTGAGTGTGTGTGGGTATCTATGTGTGTATCTGTGTATCTCTGTGTGTGCATCTCTACGTGTGTGCATGTGTGTATCTCCATGTGTGTACAAGTGTCTCTCTATGTGTGTGTATCTCTACGTGTGTGAGTGTGTGCGCTGCCAACAGTCTCGCCTCGCGCTGACGTCACGCCTAAACATTTGCAGAGCCATAGATTTGATTTCAGGTCCCCCCCTTTCCTCTCCCCTCCAGCTCGGATGGTTGTAATAATATTCTGGCTCCGCGCCAAGTATAGGAGTTGCCATAGAAACAATAAAACTGCAGCGATTTAGGGCCCCAGCTATACCGTCTCCTATTGTAAATATTAAAGTATACGGGGAAGGAGGTGGGGGGAGAAAGGCAGCAATTACATTGACATCTGCGACTTTCTGCATCTCTCTGCACCTGATTGCTTCAAACGGTGATGTCTTTCCCACAGGGAATCGCTCGAAACCCCCGCCAGCCCCCGACCTCTCCCGGGCAGGCAGCGTCACTCGAAAGGTCTGAAACTCTTTGCAAACGTTGCCAAAATTCAGGGTTGCGTTTGGTTCCCCGCCCCCACCAGCTCGGCTCTGGGCAGGGGGAGGCGGGAAAGGCTCGCAGACAACTTCGATTTTTTTTCCCCTACGAGTAAAATTTTGCCTCGTGCTTATCTTTGTCTCTAGCAATCGAAGGCTGTCTTCATTGCCTGCTGGCTAGCAACCGCCTGCACCTCTGTTTCGTGTGTGTGTGTGTGTAGTTTTGAGAAAGTCTCTGAATGACCACCCTTCTCCCCTCCCAAAGGCAGTGAGGGCTTTTTTTTTATGGCAAAAGTATTGATTTAGCAAAGACGATCTTTCCTTTCTGTGTGGGCGTGAAAAGACAAAGAGAGCAGCGCGCACAGACAGCCATTGGGCAGCGCGAATTAAATAATCCTCAGCCGCACAGATGGGAATGAAAAGTCCCGCACACCAGCCAGGTACTACGCTTGAATTAGTCCCCAGCCTTAATTAGGGGTGTGTGTGTGTGTGTGTGTGTGTGTATAATGTGGTGTTGGGTTATGGGGAGGTAGCCAAGACTGGAGAGTCTCTATAGAAACCGTGAGGCACTGGCTGAAAATGCCTTTTACTATCAAATAGAAAATACACTCGTGTAAAAAAAAAGAAAGGAAAGGAAGAAGGGAGGAAAGAAGGAAAGAAAGAGACACACACACATAACAGGGATGGGGAAAGAAATGCAGGGAGGTGCCCAGTCCCTGCTCTCACCATGGGAGTCTGGGGTTCTAGGTTGCAAACTGGGGGCACTTTACACCCAGCAGCCACCCAGCCAGGGACCAGTGGGTCAGTCACAGAAACGTCCAGGGGCTTAGACTTTTTCTTTTTTCACCAAGGTTTTAATCATATCATATCATATCATATCATATCATATCATATCATATCAAGCAAATGTATAATATACACGTGTGTATGCATATGTGTGCATCCAGGTATGCATGTCTTTGTGAATATGCACACACACGCATACACACAGGTATTTCCTCATATACACAACCACACATATATAATACGAGATTTAAACCGGAAATCCTTCCCCCCCTGCTCCTTTCCATGATTACTTTTGTCAGCCATTTAGAGGGGGAAAGTGAGATCCGTAATTGTGAGTTGATTGGCGGGGGGGGGG